TACTTAATGACTGAGCCACATTCCCAGAACTTTTTGAGACAGGGTCCTCCCAATTTGCCTAGGGCCTTGTTAAGTTGCTGAGGCTGGCCTTGAATGTGTGATCCTCCTTCCTCATTCTCCCAAATTGCTGAAATTACAGACATGCACCACATCTAGCTCAATCATCCTATATGCTTTCCTTATTCCAAGTATTAACAGTCCACTACTGCCTCAGATAACTGATAACATGTAAAATTTTCTTTAAGATTCAACACTGATCTATTTAGCAACCCCTTTCATTACCATTCTAGTCTATCTTTATATTTCCTTACTAAAATATTATGGTGTGTCCCTGTGACATTTTCTTAAATAACACTGGTGCTTTCTTTAAACGCTTCCAAGTGAATTCAGCAAATCAGTTGAAGTATAAACCTAAAAAGAATCTGCCCTAAGCATAGCCGAGAATGAAATGCTAACATTAAATGTTAACATAAAAAAATCCACAACATTGCCATGCAAAAATTAAGATGACACTCTATGAAAGAATGCTGAAACTCATATATAATGAAATAAAAATGCAAGCTTTTGACATTGAATTCATTCCAATCCAAAATAAACAACAACATAAGCTACATTCGTTTCAACTCACTCCCACTTTTATAATATCCTATTAATGTACTCTACTAATTATCCATATACCTACAACATCTCCACAATTTGAATTCCCCAAAATTGTCATACTCTCAGAAAAGGCACATATGTAAATGCAGCACCATCACTTTAAGCCGTAAAAATGAGGAAAAAAGGAGGAATACTTCTTACCAGAGCCTCTTTTGGTCACAACCTTCAAACTCTGAGTGAAAGTAGCATATAAGAGAATCAAATGCGGAATCGGAGCTTTCATCTTCCAGCTCTTAAAGGCTGTTCCCTATAGCAAAGATAAAAAGAAAAACAGCATTTTTAAAGATATATGCCAACATTATAAGATTGATTGTAAAACATTTGATCAAGCATGATTGGGGCAATGAATCACACAAAAGAAAAAACATAAACAGGATCTTTATCATATTTTCCCATGTGTTGTATGGTCCTTATGTTTAAATACAAATTAATAATGCCAAAATTATGGCTCTATAGGCTTTTTAAAAATCTTATATTCACTTAAGAGCTAGAATTTTTTAGAGGCCCTAATTGTATTTAAATAGTTGAAACAATTCCTTCAAAAGAACTATTTATCTAGCAGTTCACTTTTAATATAAATTGCCAAAACTGACAATTTAAACTGATATTTAAAAATATCCCATGCTGCAAGAGTATGGAAAGAATGACACTGAATAAAATAACAATCAAGATGAAATCTTACATTGTATACTGCTAAGGATTTAATTGTGATTTTGAAAGCCTCTTTTAAAAACTTCAAATAAGATACTTCCAGAGAACATTAAGACTTTTTTTTCCTCAATTACAAGAAGGTAACTTGTGGATGAAAGCTACAAAAAACATATATAATTTCTTTCTATTTTAATGTTCTTAATGAGATAACAGAAAGGATGCTACCCTTATGTTGGGACTTTGAAAGGGGAACTATTTCATTTGAAATTAACAATACATATAAAATCTTCCTCAGAAAATTATCCCTCCTTACTCTAAGATTTATTGAGATAAATATATACATATTTGTCATTTCTAAGTTATACAACATGATGCTTTAATATGAATATAAATTATGAAATAATTCCCACAATCAAGTTAGTTAATATATACATATTTGGACAGAGGTACTCTTTATTTGTTTGGTCACAACACTTAAAATCTACTTTTAGAAAATTTCAAGTATATAATGCAGTAGTATTAAGTATATAATGCAGTACCCCATGCTGTATATTAGATTCCCAGAATGTATTCATCTCATATCTGCAAGTTTGTCCCTTTTACCAACATTCCCCCATTTTCCTCAACTTCCCAGCCTTCAGCAATCACCTTCCTCTGTATTTCTTTTCTTTTTGTATATGGCTGAAATAGAGTTGAAAGACTGAATTTCAAAAAGCAGCAAGTCAGAACATAGTTCACATATATTGTCAACCCATGACAGCACAAGTTTCTTTGCAAGACATATGAAGACCGATCACATCCAGCATTCCATTGCTTTAACTTTAATAATGAGGAAGCAGAAATGGTAATTTAACAATTTTTGCTCTCCCAGAGACTCAGTTACATCTGAATATTTTCAATAGCTAATTCATTCACATTAATAAAGGTCTGTTAAAATATATATTAATTCACAAAACAAAATCAAAATCCATTCACTGGCAGCAAAGTGTCATTGTCATTATTTTAGTGAGAAAGATCAGAGAATTTATAAAATAACATTGAAAATAAGGTATTTTAATCACAGCACACCTTTAAATGATGATAGCCTCTGTCAGTTTTCTAACCAAGGACCTTGGATTCACATAAAGACATAAATGAAATCTGGTTTGAAGAGTTGATTCATCAGACACATCTGAGAAACTGCCACCATAAAGTGTAAGCCTGAGTCATGCATTCCTCAAACCCAAATCGCATTTCCTAGCCACCTCACTAACTGGAGCTGCAGGAAATCTACAAGTTGATATCTTCAGCCTTCAGGTTAGCAGTGAGAATCAGTTCCTTTCTCAGTGTGAGTTCAATCAGTGCTGCCCAAGAAGCTCCAGGATCCAACTATACACTGCAAGCCCTTCCAGCTTAACTATCTTATTACTTTAGCCTTGTTCAAAATACTATTTCCTTACTCATTTCATTTCTATAAGGCACACAGTCTAGTTTGCAATTCTATTTCTTAAAATTAAATTGGTTTAGAAAGCATCAATTTGGTAACATCAAGATCCTTAATTGAATCTCTTGAAACTCTGTGTATTAGGGAAAACAAAAACAATTACATCGCATTTCACAGACTTGATATCTTGATCAGTAATAATCTCTACAAAAGTATTTGAAGAAATTTATTGTATCTTAAATCGAAAGATGGATTAAATATGTCTAGTCATAGATATTTAAGTTTTGATGTACTGATGGAAAAAAATGAAAATTCTTACCCAGAACAAACAATGACAACTGTATACAATTGCCCCACCTGATTAATAGGGGATATTTCCCAAGACCTTTGGTTTTGCCTGAAATCACAGGTAGTACCAACCCCTGTGGATATTGTGTCTTTCACTACATATTCACACATATTATAAACTTTAATTTATAAATTAGATACAATAGAGATTAACAACTAATAGAAATTATTTTAAATTTTATTGTAATTGCAAAAATTTTACAGACCTGCAATAAAAGTTGCATCAGTTATCTTTCAATATTTTATTGTACTGCACTCACTCTTCTCATGATAAAGTAAGATAATACAATGCCTATGTGTTAAGATGAAGTGAGGTAAATCATATGGGCATTGTGATACAGCTAGGATACTACATAAGGACCTCTTGCACGCAAGCACTGTGATAACTACCACAGTTGATTTGGTAACAGAGATGGCTACAAAATTAGTAATAGGAGTATCTCATATACAGGGTGGATACACTAGAAAGGAGGATACACTCATTCCAAGTGGAATTGTTCATGACAGTGCAAGATTTTGTCTCACTACCCAAAATAATACGCAGTTTATATCTCATGAATTATTGTGAAATATTTTTAGAGCATGGTTAACAGAAAAATTGAAACTACAGAAAACGAAACTATAAAGGGAGCTACTGGATAATCATTTACTGAGGTTCTCATGTAACTGACAGTTCATACTATCAGTAAAATAATTTTAAAAGGCTTCAATTTCTGGAAGGGTGGACCTAAAATCACTTACCTGATTCTTATTAACAATAGCACTCATCAATTGGCTTCACATAAACCCCTATTAAATCATATGCAGAATAATGACATCATAGTGTTTACGAGCAGTTATGTTTGTCTCCTTTCTTCTCCCAGCTTTGCTATCTATCAGTAGTGTGCTTAGGGACAAATAATTTATCCTCTCTTTGATTAGTTTCTTTATTTGCAAAGTTTTGTAACAGTATATGTAGCATAGTGCCTAGAAGAGACTGGCACATAGAAAGAAGTTAATAAATCAAAGTTGCTATTGTTATTGTAGTTGATTACTGCTATTATTAGTAGCAGTACTAATACTATTACATAATCAATTCACATCCACTCCCTGTGAAACTTTCTATATATACCAGTTTTAGTTTTCCATCTTTTCCCATACCATTGCCTTATATACTTATATATTTTTTTCTATTTTGCTAGACTTGATGACCCTGCAGGGTACATGTTCATTTTATTCAATTTTTTTTATTTCCAGTAATTAATGAATGCTGTCTGAAAAAAACTGATGAATATATGAATGAACATGAATATGGCTTCTATCATATGCAGCTCAATTATTGTATTAAAACTCATCAGTTGATAAACTTATTGAGCATATACTAGTTACAAGATGTCATGCTATATTGTGAAGTGAGAACACAAAGACAATGCAAGACAGTGTAATAAAGAAGGCTCACAGACCAATAAAGGAGACAAATGCTTACCTACTTGATTACACTGGTCCTGTTGCCATATGGTAAGTATAATGTGCTGAGGGAGTAGAAGGAGCAATCTATTAATTCTGCAGCAGGTTGGATGACTGGGGAGTCATTGGAAAGGGATTTCAAAAGAAGTATTTCATCGCAACCATGAATTAGACAGTTGCTAAGGGAAAGAGAATTCTGGGTCCATGACAAAGAATGAGTGAAACATTAAGTGTGATAGGGCGAATAATGCTCCACTACCACCAAACATGTCCACATCCAAATCCCTAGAACCTGTTACCATGTTACCTTACATACCAAAGGGACTATATATGTGTGTGTGTGTGTGTGTGTGTGTGTGTGTGTGTGTGTGTGTGTGTGTGTGTG